CCTCGCAGCGACGGCAGATTGCCTCGCTACTTCCGGCTATGCGTCGCGCAAGGGATATCGAAGGAAGGTTACACGTGCAAAAGGTATCGTTTACTGATCTCGTGCTCGTATCAACTAATTCAGTCAAACCATCTGAACTAACCCATGTGCGCGCGCGCTAACTAATTTGACTAATTTTCCTTGGCCTTCGCGAATCATTTTGCGACGTAGAACATTCTGCGAGTTCCGGAAACGATTCCACGGCGGAATCGACTTACCTTGGAAGCTGACAAGTGAACCTAATTGAATTGGTAGCGTGATTTAACTCGGGAATAGTCATTGATGTTTTTTATATAAACGATCATCGGGAGTGTTTTTATATTCCAATTAGAATGATTATTATTAACGATATATTGTATATTATTGATTGTTTTCCTATTTATTTATATTTAATTTTTTTATTAGTATTCGAGAACATTATGGATATGGATTTAATCACAATTTTCTGAAAAAAGTAAATGTAAATCAAACAACAACATTAAATGGAGCACATTAAATGGTGTTATAATAGTATTTATTTTAAAAAAATGAAGATTTTAAGTTATATGACACTTTTTTGCGAGTTTTTGATATTGCGTATTTGGAGGTTCATAAAGAATAGTTAAAAAAGAAAGAAAATATGTTAAAAAATATTTATACTAAACAATATTTTACAACAATTCACATTTTTGCTCTCATTTTTGCTTTACATTTTTACTTCCACGCTGGGAGTAAAAAAATGTTCCAGATGACTATTCCCAGATGACTATTAAAGATGTATTACACTCATTTTACAAATGTGTTAATATTTATACCTTAAATAAACTATATACACATAAAAGTTGTGTTTATAACATTCTATTTTTATTGAATAATACGTTTTTACAGTTTATTTTATTTATTTTTTTATTACTATAATTTAAAAAACAATAATAAAAATTTCAATCTTTATATAAAAACTTTAAGTATTTAAAATTTATATAAAATTTCATTGCAATGCAGAGATTGGTTATTCTATAAATAAACAAATAAATTTTATTTATTTACAGAACTAATCTGTATCTCGCAATGAAACTTTGCATAAATCATTTTGAATATCTAAAACTTATATAAAAAATTGAGATTTTTGTTATTATTTTGTAATACATTTCCATGCATTTCCATTTAAAAGCATAGATAAAAACATTACTTTTTATTGAAATAATTTTTAATGTAGATTTTGAACCGTCGTTAAATTTTTTGAATTATTTTTAAATGCGATCTAAGAGGACAGTCTATTCATTATTTTGAAAGCGTTATTTTGAAAGCATGAATAATCATTGTTAAGAATTAAACGAGACGCAATATGCCCAGTAAACTGCCAACTATAATATGTATACGTATCAACGAATATGCTCGGTGTACAAACATGGTGTGTTTAATTATTTGGAAATGGTATACAAATAAGCTGGATATTAACGCGCGATGCATTCGTGTTGGAATTATCTTCCGCAACACGCTCGGTGTTTTCGCCAACATAATAATAATCTTTGTAGGGTAAATTAAAATAGCAAAAATAAGATATGATAGTGAGTTTCGAGATAAAACGAAAGCCCGCGATGACGATTTATCGATTTTCACCCACGATGCGATATACCTAAGTTATTTACTTCGCGAAATTTCTGTTTCGTCATGCGCATTCTCAAAGACGTGCTGTACATGTTTTAATCACAGTCTCTGTATCTAGTCGAGTTGTAGCGCGTTCTCCCAAGCAATTAACTTGATCCTCGTGAATTGGCCACATTTTCGTATCGATCAGCAACTTCGCGAAGCTCATTTTGCTTCACCTTATCGTTATATAATATATCGCCTTTATTATTCAAAATACGTCACAAACAGCATACTAAAGTAATGGGCGAAGATAAGAGTGAACTAAAATGCATGTTGCAGCTCGAGAAAAGCGGCTAACAACGTTGTTAATCCGCTTGTAGTTGTCACATTTTTCGCAAATGTGGCAAGCAAGTTTTATTTAAATGCTCTTCGCAGTTTGTGGTTACTAGCACGGAAAGACTTTGCACTGGAAAACGTACTTGAATCGCCTGTATTGAAATATTCCGCATATTAACGATGTAAATTACGTGCTTAAGGTATTAAAGTATATATTGCATTATGTATCGTATATAACGCGCGTGAAAATGCAATCGTAATTCCGTACTGTTCGAAATGTTTTTATTTAATCTCCGGAGCTGACGGTGAGTCTATTGGACCCACTCAATTATAAATCTCTTAAAAAATGTTAAACGATTCAATTTTCTTTATCTTACATCTGTAAATTTGGATTATTCTTATTAACATATACTTATTCATTTCTTTTATACGAGTCACATGTCATTTTGATTCCTTGAAATTAATTAGGTTCTTTTAATTAGCATATAATGATTACTAAAAGTTTTCGGCCAATGAGTAATTTTATTGTATTCCTCAGATAAAGAATTTTTATAAATAAGGATCTGATATATACAATAAGTATTTAATATTCTAGTATTAAAAATATCTTGTTTTTAAGTTATTTGTAACAAGAATTTAATGTTTACTTATAATATAAATTGAAAAACAGATTGACGTAAACATTATCGCAAAATTATATGTTGGCCGGAAACTTTTAACACTGTTAATTAAATGGATTTTATAGATTTAGCGTTAATATCTGTGGTACAGATTTTGGCATTAGCTCCGGAAGGTTAAGGCAATAAATACAAAAGACACGTCAATATTTATATCTTTAGATACATATAGTATCTCAGAATTATTGTTTCGTTCTTCATTTAAAAATCTTCGACGAATTTGAAAATATATAAAATTCTCGAGATATTAATAGTTCCTGCCATATACCATGTAAATCTATAAATTTCTGAATATCTTTAAATGTTAAGCTCCTATAAAGCGCGGTAACAGACATTTTATTTCCAATTAATTTTGAATAAATTTCAGCAAAATCCTCATGGTAAAATTTATCAAAGATTATAATATTTAAAAAATGAGAAAACAGTGGAGATGACATTTGATCAAATTTCCGACACTAAAAAAATCGTTTCTGAAGTAATCGACGCTCATGGACGAGAGTAATCGTCGACATACCTATTTTCTCGTCAGCTATGTGCACGTAAGCGATTAGACGCCGGTATTTCGGACTTTTCCTCTGTCGATCTCCTTTTCGAGGCGGCAGTTTCGCGCAACGTACGTCACGGTCTTCGTGAGTCACGGTCGATGATGATTATCGCGAGGTACATGATTCCGGAATCTTGTAGATATGGGACACGAACCGTACAAACCTTCCGAAGCGGCTGATAATATTTTCGATGGCGGTTCGCAACCGCCGCGCCGACTTGCGAAGAAGGTGACACTTTAGCTTAGTTGCTCGTCGTCACGACCGTATACAGACTCGTCACTCTGTAGCAAGAAAATCTTTCAGATCGCCGGAGAGGCATCTAGGTGAGTGCTCGTGGAGAATCAGTTCGCAACCCCGCGAAACGAGGAGCCTCGCGATGCAGTCACGTTCGCCGATATCGATTTTTTCATAAAAGCTAGATTTTTTACTTAATATAGAGTGAGAATTTAAATATATTATTCGGTCTTGATATAATTTCGATATTGGCTGAAAAAATTTATCTCGTATTTTTTACATTTTTTTGGAGTGGAATCTCACTATAAAGAGTGAAAATTGCTAGTATTGAAAGAGCCAGTATTGAAAAAGAGTGGCTCAATTTTTATTCAATTTTTTCTACGAATGTATTGAATCATTTGATTGACCAATCGGAAAAAAAATTGTAGGAATTGACCAATTAGAGAATGCTTCAAAATATTTGTAGTATCGCGTTGACTATATCGTATGTATATATTTGTACAGCGCAGGTTATAAAAGTCATTTATGAAAACGGAATTAATATCAGGAATCCTCCCTCGAAGCAACGAGGAGATACATTGTTAGTTTCGTGATAGACATTAAAACTACAATTGAGATCTGACATGTATGTTTTAATCCTTTTAATACCGAGTTAAATGCCGCATAGAGATGCTGCAATGTATCTCTCATTATTCAGTGTGTACAATACGTGTAAAAAGGCCTCTATTTTCAAACCGCGCAACACTGTGGTCTCTCACGATCGATCTCGCGTGTACTTGTGCCGTAAAGTGCGAAGTATAATTAAAATGTCACGATGTAAATTAACGAGTTAAACTATTGTCGTGACATAGATATGAACTGTATGTACAGTACAACAAAAAAATGGTGATGATGCTAAATTAGATGTGGCGCTTTCAGTGCGCATATATCATGTTTGCTCGTAACTTTTACTGAAATAATAATTTGTATAATTATTGAAGATATAAGTTATGATACTTGTAAAGGCGATTTTTGTATCCTTATAGTTTTTACCTTTCAAAGCTGAGAATGAGTCTATTGAACACATTTAATTATATTCTTTATGTTACATCTGCAAATTTGAATTTTTTATTGTTATTAAAATAAATTTAGTATGTACACATACTAAATTTATTTTAATAACACACACACAGACACACACATTCGAGTTACGTCATTTTGGGTTATTGAAGTACCTTTCAGTACCTAATATAAATTAAATGTGTATGTGTGGGTTTCACAGACTCAGTGTCAGTAACTGTGTTACGAGATTTTGACGTCATCTCTAGAATTATTGGAATTATCTCTAAAATTTATTCGATACGACCGATAATGAAATCATAATAATCAAGCCCTGGAAGTATAATTAATTAAGAAATTATATATCTTTAATTAACTGCATGCCTTTATATTTCAACGTAGATATGTTCATAATCCTATAACGTATCAGGGAATATATAGTCGAATTGCTTGTGCTATAAATCTCAACTGCCTTTACTATCATACTTCAAAGCTTTTGAAAGCCTTTTCGAACAGCAGGCTGCTATATTTTTACGAAATTTAATTAATAATTCTAGGAAATTCACTGAAACTTAATTAGCAACCTTATTAATTCTCTATCCGCAACATTGATACATGAGACTGTTAGCTATCCTGCTTCTTTTCTTTCGTTTTTGTTGAATGTTATTTACAATTTCTTATTTAGATAAGATATCGATTAAATATATCACGAATATTTTTATCTTCTTTCAATTAAAGTATAGCTACATATTAATGAAGAGACAGATAACAATGTTAAAAATTCAGCTCATTACAATTCTAATCATGTTTATTTGAGTTACGTAAGACAATAGATTGAACAGAATGTAAAGAACTTCGCAATAATTATACGGAAAATTAAGTCCTGATAAAATGAATTAGTATTCACATATGACGTAGCTTATAATGTGATGAACAAAAGATATCGTAGACATGAGGCTATAATATCTTTTGTTCACTACACATATGCTAGATTATATGTGAAAATTGACTCATTTAATCGGGATCTGATTTTTCATATAATTAATGCAGAGTTCTTTTGTATTAAAATATAATCGATAAAAAGTTGTACAAGACTAATAAAATCGATCGAATGAAGCTTTATCGAAGATTTCGAATAGTAGGAGATTTTTTTTTGCCAAATCGAAGAATTGCGGAGTGGCGTTTGAAACGCGAATTGTGGAGCGTCGAGCACAAACACAGGATTTGGCGTATCTTTACAGTGCTGAGGATGCTGACGCCGAGGAGAGCGGAGGTGGGTCCCGAGGAAATCGGGGACGGGCCCGGTGACAAGGGTACGAGCAACGCGACGAGCGGCTCGGTCACACCAGGCGGTTCCTACGAGAATGGCGACAATTCGAAGGAGTTCCTGTCGACCGGGAGGACCGGCAGGAGGAATGCATTACCGAATATCCTTGGCCGACATGCCGAGACTGGCCTTTCCGATCTATCGGATCGTTTCGAGGAACTGTCCACTCACACAGGTGTCAGTCAACTGTATTCTTTCATCATTTATGGCCTCGAACAGAGGAATTGTAATTAATATGTAGCAGACAGAGGATATTTTTTACATTGCCTTGTTCGGACTGTCTGGCCCGGGCATGCACTCTCCACTGATTTCTTGCACAAAAAGAATAATTTGAAAATAATTTTATTCAATCATCAAAATAATTATGTAAGAAACTCAGTTATGATCAATGTCGCAAAATAGTTTCATTCCGTTTCATCTCCAACCAGTTTGAGCATCTTACATAATTATTTTGATAGTCTAACAAAATTATTTTCAAATCTGTATCTATATGTATATACGAAAAAAACGCTGAAGTACCTAAAAATGTAGCTAAATATAGAAAAATAATTTTATTAGGCTGAAACATAATAAGCAATGCTGTAAAAAAGGGTTAACATGTTGACAATCATCTTGAACATTCTACGTAATTATTTTGATCTAACAAAATTATTTTCAGATCTGCATCTAACTAAAATTTTGTTACTTTAACAAAATGGTTCTTTCCGCATGTAGCTAAATTTTTAGATATTTCAGCAAAACCGTTTTTACAAGCAAAGTATTAATTAGAAAATAAAGTTTGGCATTTTTTTTATCCTGGAAAAAGAAATGTTATTTTGCTCTTTCTGGTATTATAGTTTCAATGGCCGTGCAATATTATCCTTTTGAAAGGCAACCCGGATTGCTTAAGGCCTTATGTGTTGCAGATCATTCCACCAAAAGCGGGCAGGATCCGAATATACCAAGCACCTCGAAACAGCACGGCTGACATGTCCGTGAGGCTTCGTAGCGGATCTTGCCGTAGCTGATCTTGCTCGCGACACACTGGGCCTTCCCATCACCGATGACGATGACGATGAGGATGCAATGGAAGCATGTATCGTTTCTGTGAACAAAATCCTCGAACATTCTTTGACTCACATTATTAACGCGATAGAATGTATTGATAGTACGACTGACACGCATAAACGACGAATCTAACACGATATGTCATGTCTGCTGGAATGTTAGAAAATAAAAATACGGGAAATTGACAGAGTTGGACTCAAAGCGAACCGAGGGAAAATTGAAGGCTTCAAATCAAGAAATCGTAAAATTGTAAATTGTAAGATTTGCTCTCAACTTTGCAGATCTTACAAATTATGGATTTAACTTGTTTGTATATGCAATGAATTTTTCGAATAGCTCTCAAAGGGAACCAATGACTTTTTACCGTTAAGGTAAGACCGACTCGCGACTCGAATAAAGAAATACTAGCAGGATTAATTTTGCCAGACAAAAAGTCCAATAGCTTTCGCGTGAAACGTTAGAATCATGCAGGTTAAAAGTGAGATATGCTTTAACTCATTATCAGTGGAAAACGAAAGCAGATAAATAAATGCCGAATTTATAAATTGTAATTTTACTTCTTTTTCTTTTTTATTACTTATGATATATTGTTACTTATATTGAATCAAAAAATTAGATTTGAGAAGTGTTTTTTAGCATTTTCCATGTTAAATAATTGACGATTTATGACATATTTTTGTTAGAACAGTAGCATATTCCGTATTAAAACTGGCAAAGTACATATTGAAGCAGTTAAATTTACTAAATGTGATGTGATATTTGGCTCGACTCTAGCTTTGTTAATAACGCTGTTTTAGAAATAAAAGGTTATGTATGTATGTGTGTGCGTGTGTGTAGGTGTGTGCGATATGTATTTTTAATAAAATTTCTACAAAAGCCCTTTTTATTTTATATTATGCGACTATTAATTAAAATACTACGAGAAAGGAGCCAATGAAAAACGTGCCATCAAGAAAAACGTTAAATCAATTTAGAATTTTCCACTTTTTGTGCTGTTGTTAAATTTTACAAGTTCCCTATGTGCATAGGGAAACTAATTGTACGCTTTTAATATCCAAGAGCGGCATTGATATTAATGCACAGTGTATCCGTGATAAAAATATGAGTATTATTTAAATTATATATCGTAGAATTACTCCATCCCTTCTAAAAATTGCGTACTTTGTGACAACGCTGCAACATACATATAATATAAAGGAGTTTCCTACAACTCCTACAACTCCTCGTTATATCCCAAATCCTTAACTCCAGCCTGCAATTTCAAATTCATCGATCAACAGGATTTAGGTTGCAGCAAACGATGGCCTCATACGAGATTTTCGCCAACGAAATGTCAACTCGAAGAATCTATCTAATAATAAGTCATTTGACGCGGCCGAAATTCCACGCATTTTCGATGAAACGCTCGTCTTTTTCCAAATAACTTTTGTTGAATTTCTGAACTCTTGGGATGAAAAATAAATCCGAGAGAAGTTTTTTCGATACAAGTTTCGAGAAAAGCGTGGATCAATACCTCGAGCGAAATTAACTTTAAAGTCTTTACGGCCGTAAAGTTTCTCCTTCAAACATTTATCGCGGAAATGTAAATTACACTCGCGACATTTAAATTACGAGCTGCAGTATCATGGCGTAATTTTATTAAACGTTGCGTTGTTTACCTAGATCGCTTACTGTGCGATTATCTCTTCTCATTAACGTTTTACAGCAACGCGGCCTGCAACGCGCAAAGTACTGAGATATTTGGTCTGTTTTTTTAGCTGAACTTCTTGCACCGTTTATCTTTCTTCCTTTTTTATCTAACGCGGAGAGAAAAAGAGGAAAGATGAATGGTGCAAGCTCAGCTGAAAAGAATAGACCTATTTTAGCGGCCGAAACGCGATTAGATGTTTGTACAGATGAAATCAAGCGTACAATAGCATATAATTTAATAGCATACGACAGCGGATGTGTACATACATATAGATTGCTCGGGAGCGATACAATTCGCTCGATCGCGAGCTTGTCCTGGATTTTCACGAACATGCGTATGAAGCATATAGTTAGTTAAGTTAATCAATAAGGTATGTTTAACGTACGATTAATTCTGTATATAGGCACGTATTCGTGTATTCGCGCACACACCCGTATTCTCCAGGTACGTTTTACGTTAAATATGAGCCGTTCGATGTTCGTCTCAAGCGTTTTTGTGTTTTTTTTCTGCGTTTGAGCAAACGAAAGTTAGGATTAGGAAATTACTTGACGTAAAGTGTACGACGAGAATATGGATCACGTTCTCTGCGTGACATAAGTAAACATTTTGCGTGTCCCTCGACGATCACCGAGGACATTGGTCTTCACGTATTTCGAGGGAGACAAAGGAAACATTCGTACAGCAATGTTGGCAACCTATAATTACAACGCAAAACTCTGGCGATAAAAATTGAATGATTTGTATCCGCATCAATTATATTATTATAAGATTAATCTAGCAGCGCAAATTCGCTCTCTCTATTTTGACCGTATTTCCCTTACAGAATTTTAATACTGGAAGATAGTGATTAATTATTTATTAATTACTGTTATTCGGTACTTTTAATACTCAAAAGAAATAATTTTCAGTATTACATTGGTCAGTATTATATCAGATTAATTAATTATTTTGAGTATTAAAAGCAGTGTTGTTTGGTACTTTTAATATTCAAAATAAGTAATTTTTAATATTAAAGACCAGTATTAAATTTAATTTCTGTAAGAGTTTTGATTACCGCTAAGTTCTCGATATTCCACGAAGATGTGTGATAAGCAACGATTGATAAATGATCTCTAATCAAATGCGTTATTTAATCATTCGATGCTTATAGTTTAAGAATCGACCGCGTTTTTGGTTGCGAAAATAGGTAGGGGGGGGGGG